ACAATCTCCTTTCTGCATAAAAACATCACTATTTCAAGGCCAGAGAGCCCCCTTTACATGACTTGTTGAGACTTATTCAGAATCAAGCATGATTCAAGATACTGGTGGATTTGGGGTATTTGACGAGTATCCCTCTGGTGGCTAAAATGTTTTGAAGATAATTTGTGTAGCAGTCATTCAAGATTAAAGACTCCCCAGTTAATAGATTATCCAGTGAGATCACAGTTTCTGTGACAGTAGCAGAAGATAACCAGCAAGGAATTAGCAGCAGCCTAGCTGGCTTGTGTTGCATTCTCAATGAAAGCAGAAACTAACGAATAGCACTCAAAGTAATCAAGTTCCTGCTCTCATGTCAAAAGTTGAATATGTACTACCCCAGATATTTGGGGACTTAACACTTTCTCCAATTAAGAAAAGATGTTGAGAGCCTCTAGGAACCCATCATCCAAGACTATGACACTAAAAAAAAACACACCTAAGATTTTAATCTGCAAAGTTATTTTCTATTAAATTCATGGTCTTTTTCACGTCAGGGTGAATAATGACAATACACTATAGCTTAGTCATTTTGCACTCTTCATTATGATTTTCCAACAGCTTGCTTGGTGTATACCCAAAAGAAAGGAAATCAGTATATCAAAGAGATTTCTGCACTCCTAGGTTTGCTGCAGCACTGTTTACAATTACTAATATTTGGAAGCAGCCTACGTGTCCATTAACAGATGAAGAAAATGTGGTACATATACACAGTGGAGTACTATTCAGACATAAAAAATGAGAGCCTGTCACCGGCAACATAGGTGGAACTGAAGATTATTATGTTAAAATAAAATAAGGCAGGCACAGAAAGACAAACATCACATGTTCTCACTTATTTCTGGGTTCTAAAAACCAAAAAGACTTATGGATGTGGCAGAAGGATGGTGACCAGAGGCTGGAAAGGGTAGTGAGAGAGTGAGCGGGAGGGGGCAATTGTTAATAGATACAAAAGAAAAATAGAAATAATAAATAATAAAACCTAGTATTTGATAGAAAACCCGAGTGACTATAGTCAATAATAACTTAATCATATATTTGAAAATAACGTAGGGTAATTGGAATGTTTGTAACTCAGAGAATGATTGAGGGGATACCCCATTCTCTATGATGTGCTTTTTTTCACATTGCATGCCTGTAGCAAAACATCTCATGTACTCCATAAATACTATGTACCCACAAAAATTAATAATAAAATATGAAAAAGAACCATCTTCTTTTGTGTAATAAATATGATAGTTTCAAATCCAAGGCTAGAGAGCCCCCCTGAAACAATACACGCTCTTTTGACTTGAAGAGTTTTCTCTTTGTACATAGGTAATTGTAGAACTTGACATTCTGGACCATTGACTTCCAACACAGCACAAGGGACAGCCACACATATAAAATACAATGACAGAGGAAGACTCAGCAGATTCTGCTGAAAAAGTGAGCACGCCAAATTCAAATTACTTTTCAAACTCATTGATTTTTAGCTACTGAAAGGTCGCTAGGACATTATCAGACAGGGTTTTTGTAGAATCTAAGATTTAGAATGTGACCTTGAATGGGATTGTGATCATTATGCAATAATTGCTGTAAAAACCCAGGTTGGTGTTGGCCACATATGACTACAATACTAAGATGGGGATAATTAAAGAGTGTTTCTTTGACAAGTTTCTCTAAAGGTGGCAGTAAACTTAGTGTCTTTCACTGTTCTTCTTTTTGCAAGACTCCCAGACAGCAAGAGACAGCTGGCATCCCCACATTAGTTCCTTACCAGCCAAGATCAGCATCTTGCCCACAACAAATTCTGGCTGTTGGTTAACATGGCATACTTAGAGACATATTTGGCATTTGGTAATACCTGGGTAAGACCTTTCCAAGCTCCTATGAAGTATATGATGCATAAGGTCCATTTCTAAATACTAGAAATATCTTGCTGTCAAAGCACATGTCCATAGTTAAGATGAAGCCATGCAGAAAAACATGTGGCAATGTAATCACCAGTATTTTCTTTTTCAATGGCCTTGCACATGCCTGCTACTGTACTGCTGAAGTTCAGTGTCAGTAGTTTATGTTTCCCTATTGTGTCATCAGCCCAATGCAAAGTACCATCAAAATTACACCTGGAGGTGCTAAAAGGAATATAATCAGAGTAAATGCACATTTTCAGTCTTAACTTCCAAAGAATGGTCATAAAACAGTGTGTTTGTGTTGTTCTATCTTGGCTGTCACCTTTACTACACTGTAGGGCTCTGAAGTGTGTAGAGTGAACACCACAGAGTTCTGGTTGCCATTTTGAGGTTTGATATCATAAACTTTTTCAAAAGAAGTATGCCTGATTACAGAAATGAGTATTGTCCCCTGACAATCAATATAGAATTCTGGGTAATTCTCTTTTCATTTAATAGTATCTTCTGCTAAACTTAAGTTCTCTGGGGTTGTATCACTTACATCTAACATCTGAAGTGTGAGGCAAGGCACTTTCATCAAAAAGGCTCTAGTCACGCCAGAGACAGCAAACCCTGGACTAACATATTTCACATATCTTATTGTTCGGTACTTGAGTACTGTCACAGAATAACCATTTCGGTCTTCAGGGCCAAAATAAGTAGAAAAATGCCTCATGGAACTTTGTTAGGTGTTAAGTGTTCCCGATTTCTCCACAAGAAGAAAACATGATAAAAGTCCTTGATTTCAGTCTTCATTGTATCACCTACTGTCATCCCATAATGGTGACTTGTTTTTCATTTCTGAAACCCAATATACTTTGAGTCATAAGGCAAATATTTAGCCGTTTCAAATATGCTGCCTAGAACTATTCATGGAGGCATTTCACCAGGGTTTTGAAGGACCTGAAGTGACATTTGTTTCCACATTTTCTAGAAGCAAGTTATCATTAGATTGTGTTTGTTTACTATACATGAACACAGTCTGTTCTAGTCTTCATAGTGTGGAACCATATTTGTCTGTAAAGAACCCACACGCTTTAAACTTCAAAGTGGTTTTCTGTTGATGACCTTTATGTATATATCCACTTCCCTCTCCAGATTTTTGCCAATCTTTGGTGGAAAAACAGCTTTTTCTTCTATCTTTCCGGATCTTGTGGCCATGACAAATGCCATTTGCAAGAAGCTGTCTAACAGTACTGGATCAATATAATATTCATGCATTACTTTCTGGGCATCTTCACTGACTGCTTGTTATGCCTACCTTTAGCTCATCGCAGAATGAAAAAATGGGTTTTAACTGTTTGAAAATGACATCATACTAAAATCCAACATAAAAGAGGCATACAGAAAGTTCATTACTGTTTAAAATCAACTTACATTTACCAGCAACTCTACAAATTATCTTCTTTCTGTAACTTAAAAATTTAGTAGACAGCAACTATATTAGGATTCTTTCAAAGCATCCTGTGGTGATTATGGAATCACACCTTTGTATCTCCACAGAACGACTTTAAATCTTTTACTAAGTATAACATGACTTGGCAAAGCAGTATCTCACAAGGAAACCAAGTCTACCTTGGAACTACCACATTGTTAAACAATTTTTCAAGTTATTCAGAAATACTAAAAGTATACACCACTTACCTCAAAAATCTTCTCTGGCACTACATCTTCATTTGTATACTCTTTCATTGTCATTTTGTAAAATGACATATTACCAGATTTTGCTGGTAAAAACTGATAACATTTACATTTTCATCATGCTTAACAGTTTACAGAAGCATTATTCATTTTCTTTTTTCACCCTGTGGCAACATTTCATGACTGTAAACCACTAAGACTCTCATCATCTCATTTTTGCAGAGAAATAACACAAAGAAATATGATTTTTTTTTTTACTAGCTAGGAGCTTGAAATTTATATATTAGAACAACCATTTAAATTGTTCTTTTTTGAGCTATATCTGCTGCAATAATTTCTTAACATTAGATTTGCTTTTCTATGATGTGCTAGGACATGAACCCAGGCAAAAAAAAAAAAAAAAAAAAAGGTTGGGGTCTCATTTAACATGGACCTATATGTTCTGGGCATTAAGGAGATCATAAAAACACCATCAAAACTATAAGTTAAAGTACATTGATTAAATTTTTAAAATAATAATGAGACACAAAAAACTTACAATTTATTTTTGTTGAAACAAATGTTTTATAATTATTGCGATCTTTTCAAGAGACAGGGTCATGCTACGTTGCTCAGGCTGCAGTGAGAGGGTGCCGTGGCTATTCACTGGCACCATCATTTCACACTACAGCCTTGAATTCCTGGGCTCAGGTGATTTTCCTGTCTCAACCTCTGGAGTAGCTGGGACTACAGTTGTGCACCACTGCACCTGGCTTTTGTGATTTTTCCCCAGTTGAAAAATAGTCAAACCTTAGACAAATTTCTTAGTAAGTCAAGCATAGTTGAACTATTTTTTTCCTTTACCTTTTCCTAACTCTATAACTGATACACCTTGTCATTATTGTATTCACTTTATGATCCCCAGAAATACTCTTACTATGCATGAAATCTGGGCGATCTTTGGTTGTCTTCTTGGAAGAAATAATTTACCCAAAAGACCAATTTGTAAAGCAAGCAAAAGTTTAATTGGAGAAATACAAGAACACTCCAAGAGAGGAGTGGGCTGACCCTGCTAGAAACACCCCCAAGACATTCTGCATTGTGATCTTCTATTGTCTCAGTTCTTTTTTTACCCAGTTCTCATCAAAGTTTGGGGATCCTCCCCTACTGTGTTTAATGCACATGCACTGGAACCAGTGATCAATATGAATCCTATCTAATGGCGAGTTTTGTACTAATTGTACCTGCTCAGCTCTCAGGAATTCCTCTTTTGCCTTTTTCCTTCCTTATCATAATCTAGTTAACAACATTCTGACAATTCGACCATGGAGTGAGTGCTGGGCATCCTAAAAGGTGTTCCTGGGTGTTCTTTCCAACATGGATACCCCCCTTCATGCCTGCTCATATTGACTGTCTACTCTTACATTTCTCCCTCAAGGAGTTGGGGCTCAGAAATCTTTTGGGAGATGGGACAGAGGTCATTCTCTGAAGCTGCTTGCTGCTGAGAAGGGACATCGAGGGTCTTCAGGGTCCTTCCTCCTTGCTTCCTGTCATGGTGAGGAGGATTTGACGACTGTTGCTGTCTCTTGGAAGATTTAACCCATGGTGTCCAGAGGAGACATGTAGGGACTTGGTTGTCCTGGAGGGAAAGAAAGAGGTTGATATCCCCATCACAAAATCATTTGAAGTTTGATGGTTTCTAGGTGAGAGGAAGTAAACTGAAAAGGTTCAGAAAGCAAGGCCTAAAAATGAGAAGGAAAATAGAGGCCAGGGGTCTCAAGAAAGGGAAGAGCTGAGAATGAAGACCAGGTGACACCCAAGCAGAGCCAACCCTTAGCATCCCTTTCCCAAAGGTGAGAGGCCTGGTTTATAAGATCTCTAATGTGCTCCTGGACATGCCCTGATCTGTTAAAAGAAAAATAAAAGAATTATATTAGAAATCTGAAAACCAAAGGAAAGGAGATACTATAACCTTTAAGAAGTAGTTCTCCATTCTAATATTTGAAGACAATGAGCTTGAGGCATGAATCCTTAAGTCTTTTCTTGGATTATGTATTTTGTTGAGACCTAAACTGTCATTAAACTTTCCATTCTAGGACTGGGATCATAATACACGTTGCCAATAAAGATCTGGTCTGCTCCTTCACTAGAAGTCTGTAGTAAAATCTGCTAGAATTTCCTTCTGTGAAGATTGCAAAAGACAAATGCTGTTTATTTTTTTCCCAAATTGTAGGAGATCAGTCAGGGTGATGGAAGAAATTATAGGAAAAAGATACAAACCTTACTGGAAGGCTGGGAGGTTTTGCAAAAGCTACGAAAGAGAATTTTGCTGAAGGTAGCTAAATTCTGTCAGGGTAGATAATAAGGAAGTGTAAGGGAACTGATCTAGATAAATTTGCTTAGGCCTCAGAACCTGGCCTTGAATCATCTGCACGCAGGACTGTTCTCTCGGAGGGGGGGGTGCACCATGTTAATTACCCACAAGTTGTGGTGACTCAAAGCCTTTATCATTAAATCTGGACTAAATAAATGCCCGCAGCACAGGCTTGTTGGGGCTGTAGCTGCTGTGATTCTTTACGATATCCTCTTTGTCTGTGAGCAGCCCGGTCCTCTAGCTTCAGGCCTAGACAAAAAATCCATGTGTGTGTACATTTTTCTTCCATCACTGGGCCAGGGTCTGCAAGTCAGACCCAGCAGGTGGTACCCCGTGTGAGGAACGCTGCAACAAATCATGACGGAACCCTTAAAAACGAAGGTGAACAGACTGTGCTGTCAGTAAGTAAATCATTGATGCCTGCTTGGGATTTCCAAGTTTGAGGGAATTGTTCAGGCTACGGTTTCATCACAGGACAGCAGTTATCAGCTCAGCAGCAACAGTTTATAAAAGTATTGAAACAGCTGCTTAAAGTTCGTGGAAACTTGGTTTCACAGGCTCAATTAAGGGACCCCATGCAAACTGTTGTTTCCCATAACCCATAGGAAATAGGCATGCTAGACGCAGCGCTCTAGGAATAAGGCAGGCTAGATGTAGAGCTCTGGGGACAAGTGGGGAGAAATCTTAACATCATGCACAAGGGCAATGGTTCTCAATAACATGTCTAACATTATGGCCCTTAGTCTGGGCTGCTTTGGTCCTGCTCTACATGGAAGAGCCCAAAAAAGGGAAGGGAAGGGGAGCTATCACCTACCTTACCGCCTTCTCCTTCTCCCTCAGTCCAGCCATTAGCAAGCAAAAATAACAAAGAGGAAATGGAGATTCTGCCTGATCCTCCTCCTCCAATAAATTGGAAAAAAGACAAGGGATACGCTACAGCTATGGGACCCTGTCTTAGGCAAGCAGCATTAGAAGGGGAGCTCTTAGCCTGCCCAGTAATGCAAGACCAACAAGGCAATCAGGTATATGAACTCATCTCTTTTGACTCTTATAAAGAGATATGAAAAAGCATTAAAAGAAATGGAGCCACTAGCTCATTTATGAAAGGAACAATTGAAGCCATAGCAGACAACTTCTGCATGACCCCATGGGACTGGTCAGTGCTAGCTAAAACAACTTTGGAGCTCAGCCAGTACCTCTGCTGGAAGGCAGAATATGATGAGTTGTGTGAACAAGTCAACCAGAATCAAGTGACTGGGTAAGACATGACAGCTGCTATGCTCTAGGGGAGGGGTCCCCATGTCCGGGGTCCCCATGCCCATGTACAACAAGAACTAAATTTTGTTCCCCAAGCCTATGCACAAGTGTCTTTGCATGCTCTCAGGGCTTGGGACTGAATTCCCAAAAGTGGAGTTCAATAGGGATCTTTTATAAATGTTCAACAATGGCCTCAGGAGCAATTTGTTGAATTTATCAATTGGTTAATCCAGGCAATTAAGAGACAAATTAGTCATGCCCAGGCCGCTAATACCTTATTGTTGCAATTAGCTTATGAAAATGCTAATGTCAACTGCCAGCAAGCAATGAAGGCAGAGGAAAGGCAGCCACAGTTGGAGAACTTATACAAGCATGTCAACTGGTGGGACTGAAACACACAAAGCCAAAATATTGGCTATGGCATTAAGACCTCCTAAAATGAAAAGAGAGAAGAGCCCAAATTGTTTTCTATGCAGAGAGCCAGGTCATATGAAGAGGGAATGCCCCAATAGTAGAGACCAAGGCAACTCAGGAAAAGAACCACCTTCTATATGCCCCTGATGTAAAAAGGGGAAACATTGGGCAAATCAATGCAGGTCCAAATTTGATAAAAATGGCAACCCCCTAAGTAATCAGGTGGGAAACTTCCTGAGGGTCCAGCCCCCAGGCCCAGCTCCAAACTGGAGCAATGCCAGCGGCTTTCCTCAGTTGGATGCAAAGCCCACAGTCTCTCTCAGAGCAGCCAACAGTGAGAGCGCAGGACTGGACTACTCTGCCCCAGTGAATTAGTGTTAATAGAAGTACAAGACCCTAAAAGCGTTGCAACTGGAATCGGGGGCCCACTGTCTCTGGGAACAGTAGGAATCTGGGATCAAGCCTATCCAGTAAAGCAATCAGTGTGCTCACCAGGGTAATTGACAGTGATTATCAAGGTGAGATATTAGTTATGATGGAATGTAAAGATCTGTATATTCTTCCCCCTGGATCAAAGATAGCTCAGTTACTACTTTAACCATACTGGGTTCCCAATACCCAGGGAAAGGAAAGGGGAAAGGGAAGTTTTTGAAGCACGGGAGCCACAGGAGTATATTGAAACCAATTAATTCCTGATCAGAGACCCATGATTACCTTAAAAATTGGAAATAAAAATTTTACTGGCTTATTGGACACAGGGGCAGACATTTCCATCACTAGTGATCAAAACTGGCCAGAAACTTGGTCAGAAACAAACAATTATGGGCATCAGGGAAGCACACACAGCCAAGCAGAGCATGCGCCCCCTAACACGTGATTCAGAGGGAAGAAAATCAGTTATACAACATCTAATCATACTCATCCCTGTTAATATTTGGGGATGGGACATATTAGCCCAATAGTGGGGGTCACTCTGCAGACCCCTTTCTAATAATGGCCACTGTTATTATCCCTCCCGTAACCCTAACGTGGCTCTCTCAAAATCCTATTTGGTTAGAACAGTAGCCTTTAAAGGGAGAGAAATTACAATAAGCCCATGAATTACTTGAGGAGCAATTAAAAGCCAGCCATATAGAACCATTAAAAAGTCCTTGGAATTCACTCATTTTCATCATTCCCCAAAATCTGGCCAAGTGGAGACTTTTACATGACTTATAGGCTATCAATGCTAATTTGCAACCTATGGGGCCCCTTCAACAGGGCCTCCCTTTCCGCAAAGCGATTCCTCAAAATTGGCCTATACTCATTATTGACTTAAAAGACTGCTTTTATATTATTCCCCTTGCAGAACAGGACAGAGAAAAATTTGCGTTTACCATAACAACCATCAATAATGAAAGGGCAGCTCACTGACTGCATTGGAGACTGCTCCCTTAATGCTAAACAGTCCCACCATGTGTCAGTATCATGTAAATCCGGTTTTGCTCTCCAGTAGAAAATAATTTCCTAATTACAAGATTATTCATTTTATGGATGGTATTCTACTGGCAGACCCAATGGAGCCAGAACTTTTAGGTTTGTATGCCTCTGTCTTAAAGAATACACAGTTAAGAGGTTTAATCCTGGCACCTGAAAACGTACAAATGTCCTCGCCTTTGAAATGTCTTGGATACATACTAACTTCCTGGTCAGTAAGCTCTCAAAAGTTTAAATTAAATACTAGCAACTGTCATACTTTAAATGATTATCAAAAATTACTGGGCGATATTAATTGGCTTTGCCACACCTTGTGCATAACTTCTGATAAGTTGTAAAGACTGTTTTCTAACCTAAAGGGCAATACAGCCCTAGACTCTCCCAGGTATTTAACTCCTGCAGCAAAAAGGGAAATGGAGGAAATAGAGCAAGCTACTTCTCAGAGACAACTAGATTGCATAGAATCAAAATATTCAGTTCAATTGCTTTTTTTTATTCCTACTAAACATTCCCCAACAGAATTAATAGGACAGATAGCCCCAGTGCTACGCTTCCTAGAATAGGCTTTAGACTCACATACTGGGACTAATACTCTATATCCCTATATCCACTTAGTTAATAAAGTCATCTATTCAGGCCACAGATGATGCAAACAGTTGCTAGGTTATGACCCTGATGTCATCAAAATTGCTTTAAGTAAAAAACAATTTGAAGCAGTAGTGCCCATATCTCTAGGTCTTCAGATAACACTGATTATGCAGGCCATACAGAGCATGCCCTTCCTGCTGACAAACTAATTCAGTTCTTATCTCATATCCCTGTAGTTGTTCCTACAAAACTAGTTCACTCTCCCATACCAAATGCTTTCATGCTTTTTATTGATGGCTCTGGTAAAAATGGAAAAGGGGCTAATTTCCTTACTTGTTCTGGATTTACTAGCACTCAGAGAGCTGAGGTTGGAGCCTTAATATTGGCCCAGGTGACCTTTTCCACTCAGTCTATCAACATTGTTAGTGATTCTGCTTACTCTATTTATTGCAAAACCTTGAGACAGCCCTCATTAATTCTACTCTTGACCCCACCCTGTGTGCACTTTTTCTGTGACTTCAGCAATTGCT